GGATAAAATCTTTGCATGAAATTGTCCGCACACAGAACTTTTGTGTCAATCCCTTCTCTTGTCCTTTTCTCCTCTATGACTAAATATATCATTCTTTGTGACATATTAAACTTCAAAACCTAAAATAACGGGTTTAATGGAATCTCCTGCCAATTGTATGCAGACGATACACAGCTATGCTTTTCTGTTAGCAGCCTCTCATGCCTCAGTGAATGATTTTCTGCCATTCTTTGTTAGACGTATCAAAGTTTCCTTCATCTCATTTATAGTAAAACTGAGGATTTTATGTTTGGCACGGACACTTTTCCCTAGGAGGTCAGTACAGTAGCTCTTGCCAGCACCATCAAATCATCTACTCAGAACCTCTGCATCATCTTTGACCAGCATCCGAATTTTGAATCTCACATCTCTCAGCTCACCCTTGTTTCCCTCATGTCAGAGATACTGCAAATACGTCAAACCTTTCAATCAGTTCCTTTCCTATTTAATCATCTGGAACTTTTCTCTGGCCTTGATTATTGTAATTCTCTCTTCACGTGTATCTCTCAGTCCTCCATAGCCTCCCATTAGTGCAGAGAGCAGCAACACGGCTGATAAGAAAACTAGCCAGTGCTCACATATCCCACTTATTTATGGATCTCTTCACTGGCACCCACTGAAATTCAGAATAATCTTTAAATTCCTGTTATTAACATATATTATATATATAACATATATACACATATTAACATATAAAGACCTAATTGCTGGAACCAACCTCTTCGATCAGCCAATCATGGTCTCATTACTGTCCCACGCTCTGATTTTAAAACCAGAGGTGATCACATTGAGTTTGTAGTGTAGCCCCCAAACCCTGGAACAACCTTCCTCAGCCTATCACGTCTGTTAATTGTTTTAAACCAAGTTTTTATTTACACTGTGAAGCTCTTTCTAGCTCTGTGTTTTCCAAAGTGCCGTAGAAATAAAATTATTCTTTGTATTAAAACTTGCCGCTCACCACAACACCCATTAAATCATCTGGCCTTGGTCAGAAAGCTTTTTTTTACGTTTAAACCCTGCTAGCCTGGCACTGGGGACAAAGAGATTTACTATATTTCAGAATTTGTTTTGGCCTCACAGGGGCATCAAAGGGTCAGAGTAGAAGAAAGAGTGGAAAGGTCCAAAAAGTAAAGCACCCTGAGGGGATCTTGTGTTTTTTACGACAAAGAAGAGTGTGATGGTTTCTACAGTGCCTAAAGTAAAACTTTTACGTCTGGGTTTGATCATATTTGAAAGAAAAATCCAAAGCTTTGAAGTCGCAGTTTGATTTACAGCCATGAACATGTGTTTACTTTTACCAGCAGCTTTATGCTTTCAGTTCATGATGGAAAAGCAGCTCAGCCTCATGTGAACTTTACAAAATGCTTCTGCTGTGATAAAATCAGCTTATTTTAGCGATGCCGCTGCAGAAGGAAGCGAAAAGGCGCCCCGTGTAAACAAAGTGCGCAGAATAAACAGACTTTAGCGCATGTGTCGCTGTTCCTCTGCAGCACGGGAGGAAAACTCCCGTCACCCGTGTCTGCAAACATTTTAACATGTCCTGCGTTTCCTGAAAGTTTTAGAACTACTGCGTCCACTAACCTTACTGTGGTTGATCTAAGTCGGTGTGTTACTGCTGCTTTTGTCCATGATAAAAACCCTCCGGGATGTTTCGGTTTGTCCGACGGCACCGAGGAGCTTCTGGTCCCCCCCAGTGTCTGTCGGTTACATCCTTTAACGGAGACTTCGGGGTTAGACAGCTGAGGTGTTGGAGACACAGGGGGAGGAACAGGGGGGAGAGGAGGAGGGCGGTAATACGATGCTTCCTTCTGATTGGCTGAGACATGATTTTACCTTGAGTTTCCTTTAAACGTTGAGGAATTCATTGCGTCACATCTCGCACTGTCTTTAAGTTTTTTTTATTTAACAGTCTGCTGAAGTAAAGTGAGGATTCAAACAGTTGAACAGACACAAAATGATTTCTGAGAAGTGATGGCCTGTCTGTTTGTTTTCTCTCCCTGCAGCACTGGTTTGGATCGTCATCATCGCCACACCAACCCTCTGCATGTGCTGCTCCACTTCTTGACCAGTATGTCCACTGTCCCTCCTCTGCACATGTCCAAATCATTTCAGCTTTGTCTCTGTTTGTCTCCAAACCCCACAGCTGGTCGTGTCCCTCTGATGTACTTCTAATTCTGTCCATCCTGCTCACTCCCAGTGAAACCTGAACATCTTCAACTAGGCCTCTTGTTTTTCATCAGTACCACTGTCTACAAATCATACATCACAGCAGGTCCCACTCCCATCTTGTAACCTTTGCTTTCACTCTTACTGCTATCCTTCTGTCTAAAATCACTTATCTTCACCCACTCCACTCTGCCTGCACTCTTCTTCACCTCTCTTGTGCACTGCTTTGGCTGGTCTTTAAACTCATCTGGGGCGGCAGCATCTCTGCTGGGGACAGGAAGAGACTGAACAGGCTGATCCGAAGGGCCAGCTCTGTTCTGGGATGCCCTCTGGACCCAGTGGAGGTGGTGAGTGACAGGAGAATGGTGGCTAAGCTGTCATCCCTGATGGACAACATCTCCCACCCCATGCAGCAGACTGTGACAGCACTGAGCAGCTCCTTCAGTGGGAGACTGCGGCACCCACGGTGTGGGACGGAGAGATTTCGCAGGTCTTTCCTCCCCACTGCTGTCATACTCCACAATAAAGACTTTTGCAGCTGATCAAACACACAAACCCACACATGTGCAATAAGACTGCTATATGTGCAATTCTTCTGACAAAGTTGTATTTTTGTATTTTCCTACTCAGTTGTATATAGTATTTGTATTTGTATTTTATTCTATTGTATATAGTATTTTATTTTATTCTATTGTATTTTATTGCATTCCAGTGTTTTCTAATTTCTGCTACATAACTTTGCACTTTTGCTGTAACAAAACAAATTTCCCACCTGTGGGACTAATAAAGGTCATCTTATCTTATCTTATCTTATCTTATCTTATCTTATCTTATCTTATCTTATCTTATCTTATCTTATCTTATCTTATCTTATCCTCTTCAGTGCTCCTTGCATCTTCACTGTCTTCCTCTCATTCACACACATGAATTCTGTCTTGCCTCTACTGACTTTCATTCCTCTTCTCTGCAGAGCATACCTCCACCTCTCCAGGGTCTCCTTCACCTGCTTCCTACTCTCTCTACAGACCACATCTGTGAACATCAGAGTCCACAGAGACTCCTGCCTGACCTCATCTGTCAGCCTGTTCATCATCACTGCAAACAAGAATGGGCGATCCCTGATGCAGTCCCACCCCCACCTTCAACCCATCTGTCACTCCACTGCACACCTCACCGCTGTCTTGCTGCCCTCATACATGTCCGGCATCACCCTCATATATTTCTTTGCCACTGCTGACTTCCTCATGCAGTATCACACTTCCTGTCTCAGCATCCTATCATCTACTTCCACAAAGACACAGCGAGGCTCCTTCTGACCTGCTCCGTATTTCTCCATCAACACTCTCAAAGCAAACGTCACGTTTGTCGGAATCTTTCCCAACATGAAGCCTCGATTCAGTAACTCCCATATCATCCCACTCTCTGAGTCGCACTGGATGATAAAGCTAATCAGATAAATGTTAAACACATGCATGTTGGTGAATTTCTCAGGAACTTCTGTTTAATTCAAGGTGGAGTGAACTGCTTTGGTTTTTCCCTTTTATGAACTGAAAAACGAAACGCCTGTGGCTCAGGATGTAGAGTGGGTCGGTGGTTTGATTCCCGTCTCCTCCAGTTTGTGTGTTGAAATAAATCGGAGGAAGCCTTTGAAACCTTTTGAATACAAGCGCGCTCACATTCACAGGTGTACACACGGGTGCTCACAGACACAAACTTTTTGGCTCCTACCTCAAAGCACACTGTGCGCTGTCGATCCTACATGCTGCACAATAACGTTTAATATTTAGTATTTACTGTTATATTCACATAGATCATCGCGATGATGTTGTTTATTATATTGTCCCTTATGTAACATCTGAAAATAAAATTAAATAAACAATAAAAACAAAGGTCAATCAAATGGATCAATACGACAAGGCCGGGATGGTCCACTTGGTAAAGTAAATCCATTGGGCATCTTTCTTGGCCTTTAGACAATAATTCTGATGGCAAAAGAACCAAACGGGACAGGCGGGGGACAGTTTGTTTGCATTCATTTATGCGCGGCTCTCTTGAGGTCCCGCCACAGCATTTCAGTCGGGTTGATGTCTGGACTTTGACTGGGCCGTTGCAACACTTTGATTCTTTTTCAGCACGTCTGTTGGAGATTTGCTGCTGTGCTTGGGATCACTGTCCTCTTTCAAGTAACAATCTGAGCTGAGCTTCAGCCGTCGATCAGACTCTAGAATACTTTGGCATACAGAAGAGTTCACGGTCAACAACAGGTCGTGTGGCAGCAAAACAAACCTGAAACATCCCCCCTCCACCGTCACGTTGACCGTTGGTATGAGGTGTAGGTGCTGATATGCTGTGTTTGGAGTTCCCCAGATGTGATGCTTTGCATTACAGCCAAACGTCTGTCAGAAGGACGTTGTTACAGAACTGTGGCCGTACTGCCATCTTCTTTTTAGAGAGGTTTTTTCCTGCAACGCTTACAAACAGCCGATGCTTGTTCAGTCTTTTTCTGATTACTTTAATGCTTAACATGCTAACCGAGGCCTGTAGAGCCTGAGATGTAGCACTTGAATTTTTGCAGTTCCTTTGAGCATTGCACGGCCTGACTTTGGGATGAATTGGTCGTCATGTTCGATCAAAGCTTGAGGCATTGTGTTAATACACACCTCAATTCTACCCTCTCGTTTCCCGAAGCAGTAAGGCTGTGTGTAGTTTTCCATTGGATTCCTTAGAAAACTTTTTGCACAGGTCCTGTTTAAAGATGACTCCACGATGACTCATAAATGCATCTGAAAACATTATGTGTATGTAAATCAATTTATTGCAAGAAGATCACTGGGAACAAGGTGAAGGTGTCCATCTGTCCCTGCCCAGAGCTCCTCATCAACAAAAATGAGGATTTACAAACAAGTTAACAGACATGAGCATAAAATGACAAGAATTAGCTGAAACTAAGTGCTGTAGGCCTACATCCTAAATACTGTATATATCTCAAATATAACTGCTCATCAGAAGTTATTCCAACACCTGCGTTTATGATAGCATATTCCTCCTGATATGTACAGCATAATCAAGACAGTGCCTTTAAGATGTTGCATTAAAATTACACACAAAATAATCAGAACTATGAAAGAGGCATGCAAAACCGAACAGTATATGTCACTACGTAGCCTACCTGAAAATATCCCCCCACACACCCAAAGCGCAGCCTCGCTGAAGGCATAGCGCAGCTCTACAGCGCCATCCTGTGACTGCAGGACGCTTTGAATTGATCAGATTCAAGAACTGAAATAAAAAGTCCACATTTTCTTTGAACACATGCTGCAACAATGTGACCATAATGTTCTAACAGTGGTGCTCAAATACGCAGAGAAGAACAGCCACGAGCCTCAAATACAAGAGACGGCACAGTAATTGAAGCACTGTTGTGAAAGTTCAAAGTCTGGTGTTTTTCCTGAAAAGAAATCCGTTACATCTGCATCTCATCCCTAATTTAACACGTGAGGGCGACATATCAGAACATGTGAGAGGTTTGTAAAGGCTGACATTTCCATCCTTTGTCTCCAAATCCACTGTGTTTAAACTAATATAAATGCAACATTTCCAAACTATACAAAACTTATAAATTATAAAGTTCTATTCTTAAATATAAACAACATCAAGTCAGTTTCCAGTACTTAGATTATATATTAGGTACAGTACATTGTACACAGCTTCCACTGAAATCACTGTACACGATCCAAAAGGCTGAAACTGGAGGTCAGACGTGATCTTCGAATAAATTAATTCATAAATAAATCACGATTACGTCTTCCCAGTTACATCCTCGGCATGCTTTGCATCTGCTCCAGATTGTGGCACGCGCTCACTCACGCACACACACACACAAACACGCTGTGCATTCGACTCTTAAGTCCAAATCTACAAGTTCGGCTAATCTAAAAATACTTTTGGCTTTAAGGAATAACGTTACACTCGACTGAGACTAAAAGCTAACTTTTCAATAAAGTACGAGACGTCTACCGCCTACAGGGAAGTTTAACTTCAGTAGTTACATGTTTACCTGCAGACGCTTTGCAATAGAATATTAAAAGAAATAAATCTCTAATCCATAAAGTGACGGTGCTGGATGTCAGTTCCAGGTAGATCCCTTTCATTGTGTGGGAAAATTTAAAGCCCACATCTACTCAGGTACGACAAACAAAACAAAACAGCCAAGAGCAGACTTTATGTGATAAATATCTCTGTGACAGTGCAAAGCTAGAGCTGTGGCTGTTACAGCATGCTGTGTGGGCTGGAAGGAGACATGTTGAAGCATTTTGAGCCTAAAGGAAAACACAGAATATTTCGGCTTTGCAAGACCGATCCAGTTGTGCATAAGAGGATTCCACACAAAAGCTGATAGAAGTACTTCTAATATATACACAGAAAGCCAGTTTTTGCTTAAAAATTACTTAATCGTGTGCTTTATATCCAAACTTGTAGAAAGAGTAACAAACAATCCAGCTAAAAATCGCTGACTTCTCTCTTTTCTCGCCTCAGTCAGTCAGTTACAGTAGCAGCTTGTTCACCAACAGTAGCCTAATTGTCGGCATTAATACAGTTAAGTTCACTCCAGCCAACGTTTTGGTTCATTATACATGATTGGCAGCAATCCCGCCGCTGGCACTTTCTCTTCGCACCTCCAGAAAATAACCCCAAAACATCCGACGTCCTTCTGTCCGCCACTCGTGTGTATTGCACCAAATATAAATCATACAGAACTCTATTTTTCTATTAAGTAATAGGTAGGACTTTGTTTGGAGGTGCCATGAAACTGGAAGCCAGGTGAGGTTCCCCCATCAGCCAGAGGAAGAATTAGTAGAAGAAGAAGAAGAAGAAGAGGAGAAGGCGGGAGGGTCAGTGGATGTCTCTGCACATGGGGAGGTTGACGAAAGTGAAAACGTTGAACTCGATGAGGACGGAGAAGGACAGAAAGATGGCGTACAAGATGAGGCAGGCCAAGCCCAGTCGCCAGTCCAGAGTCCACTTGTTCAAATGGACGCCGAGGACCTGAACGAAGAAGACACGATTAGAGACACACCGCACAAAGATAAGAAGAGTGGATGCAACTATGAAACAATTCTTGACTTAAAAGAGCTACAATGCAAAGCCTTTATTAGTTTGTCCGGACCTCCCAGGAACAGTCGGTCCAGCTCAAGTCCAGCTGTTTACTTCAGGTCATGTTTCAGTTTTAGGTATTTGCACTTCTTTGCATACTTATATACATCTGACAGCCTTCATTCAGTTTTCTGAAATTCCCGCGTTTGTCGATACGTCAAACTAGGTGTTTTATGTGGCTGCAAGTGAACTTGCTCTTCCTCTTGTCTAAATATACTAATTTCAAACCTGTGGTTGACATAGGAGTGTGTGCAACTTGTTTAAACCTCATGTCAGCCGTGCGCTGTCTTTACCCCAGGGCAGGGAAACATAAGTTAAAGCTGTGAGGGACGCCTTCATATCATTGCTCCACAAGTCTGTGCATTCAAAAATGTTAGCTGCAGAAATCTGTGACTTACTGTGAAGAATACTGAGGCCAGTAGGAGTGCCACGGAGTATATGAGTCCTCTGCTGTTAAGTTCGATCTGAAGAAACAGAGAAAGAGGCGCATTTTCACATCATTTTCACCAATGACTTTAAAATGCAGTTTTTTTGTTTTATTCTAAAGTGTAATGAGACAAATAACACCGTCTCAGTTCACGGTGATGCAGTTTGGTGACAAACAAAGTCTCATTGTTTATGAACTCATTTCTGCTCCAGCAGACGCTCCTCCAGCGGAGCAGGGAACACTCACGATGGAGCCCGTCTCGATGCAGAGCGTTTGCAGCGCCCAGGGCAGACCCAGACCCACCAGGATGTCAAACACATTACTGCCTATGGAGTTGGAGATGGCCATGTCTCCCAGACCTGAGGTGAGGAGAGAAACACTGTCAAAGTCTGTGTTCAGTCGGGAGACAAAGCGATTACGACAAGCAAAACTCTGCTGTGCGACGCTGGACTTCTTATGTGAACGTACCTTGCCGCGCCACTATGACACTAGCCATGCAGTCTGGGACGCTGGTGCCCGCTGCGAGGAAGGTGATGCCCATGATGACGTCAGGGATGCCGAGAGTAAAGCCAATCACAGTCACCTGAGAACAGACAGACATCGTCTCAAGAGACAGACTCTCTGGGAATTCCTCCTTACGCAGGGCGGTAAGATAAATGAATCAATTCTGAGAGTTTCCCTCTGTTTCTGCACTTAATCGAAGGATGTGTGTGTTTTCCATAATGACAGCTGTGTGTCAGTGTTAGAAACGACTCACTATTTATAGACATTTTTGTATCAAATCTACGAGGTTCTGGCTGGACTGTGAATGTAAATATTAATGTGAACTTTTATGTATATAGATGAAAACACATTTGTGATGTTTATCACAAACAGATTGAATGCAATTAGCGACTTGACCCCATTCAGTTCCAAACCGTGGACAGATTGTCTCCATCTCCAAGGCAATGAGGCTGAAAGTTAACTGCAGATGGCTGAAACAATTTTGGCCGTGTTGCCGTCTCCCAACCAGTGTTTTCTCTAGTGTGACTGCAGCATTACATAAGTCAAAAGGATGAAATCATTTAGACGTTTCTAAAAACACAGTTTTAATAGTCTTGAAAGAAACTGTCTCCATGTTTAGAGGGAAAGGATCAGGAGGTGGTTGAGCGAGCCTGACTGGACTCACCATCCACACCATGATGTACGAGAGGCCGGCGATCCAGATGGTGGCTGTGAAGAAGGAGACCATGAACCACCTCTCCCAGCGGCGCTTGCCACAGTTGGGCACCGTGAAGAACAGAAGCAGGGACAACGGCCACATGATCAGCCACTTGAGCTTGTTACACACACCCGCTGGAATGAATAAGATGTAGTCAGGGTTTAACGTTACACGATGCTAAAATGAACATTTGCTGAGAGCCAGATCGTCTCATGTACCTGGAACTTTAAAGGGCACCAGGGGGCCCTCTTTGTCATCCTCTTCCTCTCCTTCCTCGTCATTCTCATTGTTCTCGTTGTCCTCATTTTCATTCTCCGTCTCATTCTCCAGCCGCTGAAGTCTGCACCTCCCGTTCACACCCTGCTCGACTCCGCCCATCCCATTCTCTAGGCCCCGCCTCCCTTGCGCCCTGGCTGCAGACTCAGAGTCACCATTCGTGATGCGATTGACTCGAGTCTCCGTGGTGTTGATCAGTCTTTGTCTCTGGAACATTAAAACAATCATTTGGACACTTTGCATTGCTCTCGTGAATTATTTTGTCATTATGCATAAAATACAAAACAGGAAAATATTTCTCTGAGGTAGAAATAAATATTCTTTCCAACTGTGGTTGTTTCCTTTGGATTTAAGCTGAAACTTCAGTCTGCAGCAGACAGGTGTCTGAGATATCCAAAAGACAATTAGCATTCATTCCACGTCTTATTTCATCTTCTGCTAAACCCAGACCCAATTATTTGGTTTGTATTTATGCTAAGACTCTGGATTTGGGCAATTTTTCAGGCTAACTTTAGTTGACAAATTTATATTTCTCCTAAGTATGTGAGGAGCATCTGAAACCACACATCCAAGAATAGTTCAGTGTGTAAGTACCTCATTGATCAGCATCCGAGAGGCCATGGTGAGCCGGGTTCTCGGGGAGAAATGACTGGTGATCATGATCCTCATGCCGGCCTCAGAGAAAGACAGCTGGTGGGGGTAGGCAGACAGCAACTCATCCACCATCAGCACAGACGGCGTGCAGTGGAAGTTCGCTAAAAAATAAAAAACAGAAAAATACGTTTGAGCCGATAAAACATTAAATATAAAATCTCGCTGGATTGGAAAATCTTAGCTGTTGTTTGTAAAACACACAGTATGGAGGCACAGTGAAGTACAAGCCTGGAGTCATATCTGCACAGACAGCAAGTTGCATCATTGCCTCAACCCAACCCCCCAAAAATTAATTCATTAATTAATTATATCTCTCCATCCACTGATTTTCTCTGGCTTATCCAAGTCCAGGTCAACCATCCAAGCAGAAATGCCCAGACATCCCTCTCTGCAGCCCCCTTTTCCAAGTCTTCTAGGAGATAATGAGACATTCCTAAACTGAGAAACATAATCTCCCCATGGTCTCCTGGGTCTCCACCAATGCTTCCTCATGGTTTATAATGACTGGAACACCTCGCCCAGGGGGCATAGTTCAATAAAGCCAAGGGAAGTACATCATTGGCAAAAAAGTAGAGATGACATTCTGAGACCACCAAACCCATAAAAGTCTTAAAAGTTATGAAGAGAATCTTGGACAAAGGGCAGGAACAAGCCTGACTTATTGCTGCTAATGCAGATTAAGCTCTCTTGTACAGGGGCTGAATGTTGGGAAGTATGGTGGTCAAATTCCTTTTCCAAGTCCATAAAGCACATGTAGGCTGGTTGGTGAAACTCCCACACACCCTCAAATATCTCCAAGAGAATAAAGAGCTGGTCGACTCCATCACCAGGATGAAAACAGCATTGTTTCTTCTGAATGCAGGATTCGACTTCCCTCACCAGTGCCCTGAAAGTCTATGCCAGGTCTATGTCTACAGCTGAGGAGTGTGATCCCTCTACTGTTGGAACACCACCAGTTTGTCGAGGGCACTGTCCCTGACGTCATTGCAAAGCTGCAGAGATACGTCCACGAGAACGGCATCAAAATCCTTAAGGAGCCTCGAGATAAACGCAAAACCAAAGATCAGATCAGGTCCAACCTAACCTGGAAAAAATGCAGGTTCTGCACATGAATATGAATCAATAGCTATTATAAAATCATGCCGATATAAAATCATGCTCATTGGGTGGGAAAAGGGGGAAAATTACTGTCCAGGAAGACATTTTGTGAGCATTTCCTTGAAACTGTTTTGCCCAGTAACAAGTGAGGAGGGCGACTGTTTCTCACTGGGGCAGCATTCAGAGTATCAGGTGCAAAACGAGCTGACAGAGCAGGCTGTGCCAGCATCTTGCAGTCCTCTCTTCTGTTGTTCTCAAGCTGTAACTTATTTTTGAGGGCAGAGAGAAAGCTGCAGACGGCAAACAAAACGGCTGACTCTTTGACATTCCTAGCATCCAAAGCAACTCTCAAGCTCTTAAAGAGACACGCCGGGAAGGCTACTGGGTTGCTTATTTGGTTGGAGAAGGTAAATGAATTCAGTTTACCAGTTTATTCAAACTTCTCTGCAAACGTCTTTACGCTGGCTTGTTTCCTGGATGGAAAGAAGCTCGGTGTTCAAACAGAGGGTCATAATCACCGAATACAAAATCTTAGAGTCTGCACAAGTAGTCCTTTGGTACTGTCCTCACCCTTTGCCTGCTTAACACAGAGCAGAATCAAAATAGAAGGAAAGTGCTCCTGCAGCTTTTATATTTATGCAAATTTCAGTGTGCAGAGATGAACAACTGCAACCCACTGAGACACTTTAGAGGACAAGCAGAAGAGGCTCTGATACCTTTTTTAAGCAGGACTGCAGTGGCGTCACACGTGACGTCCTCCAGATCAGTGCTTCCCGTGAGCCCATTGGCCAGATTCACCGAGCCTTTCTTTCGACGGTCGAAGTAGCGATGGGCCCGGCCGTTGAACCTGGCAGTAACAAACGATGACAGACTCAGTAAATCACTGCAACCAGCTGTTTAACTCTCTGAAGCTGACACTCACTTCATGATGAGGATGTAGACCGCATACATCAGGATCAGGACAAGAGATTCCCACCTGCACACAAACACAAGCAAAAGGTTTCACAGTCACTCTTTCCATTTCAAAAGCTCAGTCATATATATTTAGAGTTTTATGGTAAATGTCAATACGCACCAGCACACCTGCTCATCGTAGATGAACTAAAGATGCAAAGACAAAGAGGACACAAGGGGGTCATTAGGTGGAGGAAGTACGTGGGAGTTTAATTAAATCCTGCAGTTCAGCATCTCTGCCGCTAGGGGGCAGACCCAGCTAAGAATGCCAAAAGAAACAAATGGAATATGACACTGACAAATACAAATATAATACATTTAAAAGTTATGTAAAAAGTTGAAATATCATACACCACGGGGCTAAAATTTATGAAGGATAGAAAAGCACTGAAAAAAAGTTCTTTGCAGTAGCTGTACTCTGGTTTATTAACAGTAAACATTTAATATGTACAACCCTTAGACTGATTTTATGAAGTTTTATAAAGATGTCCTGTAAATATAAAATTATAACTATTTAAAAGTATAATAATAAGTTATTGGATCATTAATTTGAGGATGTGGAGCAGGGCGTTATTATTCTACAGCTTCAGCTACTCAGTTACAGTTTTATGTAACTGATGTTAGTTACATATCAGTTGTTAAACCATTTCTGCACCGATAACTAAAAAATATGAATTTTGTTTTCATGCTTTTTATGCAAGGTTCTGCATCTGTGCAGAACAGCTCAGTTCAGTTATTTGTAAATGAATATGCAAACCTGCATTTAAGGGACATGATGTGTGACATCACAGTCTCTCTGGTTTCTGTTTATTGGCCAATCACTGAGCAGGCTTTGGTTGCATGCAGGTAAAGCGTCCTTCGGGAGAGTCACAGTTGCTGGAAACCATCGGCTAATCCAATGTATAATTTAATATCAATAGCTTTTTAATAACTAATCTGTAGTCACGAATATCATCCAGTAAGACTCTTTCACAGCGTCGACACACAAAGCTGTTTGTAAAGTGTGCATAATGATTATTTCATGCAAACAGAACACATGCAAACATGTTTAAACGAAATACTGCGATCTATTATTGGTCTTCTTCTTACTATTAATTGTTTTTTTTATTTTTTGTCATTATTTACAGATTTTTTGTTTGTTTGCATTTTGATGAGATCATTTAAATCCCTACAAAAATCCCAAAGGAGCCTCTACGGGCTGTAAGCTTGATTTCATTAGCAATCATGCCCTCCTCCCTCTGCTTAGATTAATAAAGGTTTATTTGCATCAGGTCTGAAAAGCTGTCGTAGGAGAGTTATGGTCTCTTAAGACATCACGTGGCCTAAATGCATTTTAGATGCATGGCCTCTGAAGCCACATCAGTCCTGGAGAAACTGCCTCCAACAGCACCGTCTATGCTACTCAAAGATGGCAAAGTAAAACTGTATAACAACATTAATTCAGTAACATAGGTAATTGTAATAGTAATCACAGATTAGCTTAAAAAATGCAATGTCTGCTGTGAGTTTCTCGCCCTGGTCTGAGAGCTCAGCGGTGTTTAAACATCTTTTTTGTGTTGGTGCTCCTTGTTGGACAGAAACACTCATGTCGCACCTTTTCTTTCTTTTTCTTTGATCCACATTCTGTGTCTCAGGTGAAACAACATTCGCCTCCTCGGTTACTGCAGACCAAGCCTTGTTTTTTGTTTTAAAAAGAAAACCGTCCCACCTGAGGACACCCATCTACTTTCCTCCTGTTTTGGTTTCTTTGCTCAGTTTATTTTTTCGTTAGAAATAAAAATATCTAAAAAGCAAATTGTTCAGATTAGCTAATATAAACATGTTGGACAGGAAGAAACAAAGAGGCCCATTCCCTTTAAACGTGAGAGACACTCCAGTTTATTCTACTGTACAGGAAACATAAGTCAGCCACTGGTTTCCCACATTAACATGCAAGTGTTATTTCATTGCTGTAGTTCATTGAGGTAAGGCTAATTTAGTTTTCAACATATCATCATACTTCGAATAACTAATATTGTTTTGTATAATCTTTAAAGTAACAAATAGATGCAATGGAGTCAAAAGATCAATATTTCCCCACAAAAAGTTGCACAAAAGTTGACTTGAAACTATGCAGTACTTGAGTAAGCATACATCCTACCACTCCATTGCCTTTGTGCATTGCATTGTGGGAGAGAAACCTACACTTAAAGCTACACTGCTGAGGTAGAAAGTGCAAATGTGTAGTGACTGTAAAGCTGCTAACTATGACCTGCCCTGTAAATTGGCTCAGTAAGTGACTGCATGAGTGCCTCTTCCTGCACTTACTCCACACTTGATCATGTGAACTGTGCATCTACACGTGACTCTGCAGTATAAGCTCTTACCGCAATGAGGGCAGTGACAGAAAACGTGTAATAAATCGAATCTCGGAGTAGAGCCCAGTGAGACAGCTTCACCGCCTGTGAGGGGAAAAAAGGAAAACTGAGAGATAAGCACACTGAAAGTATCCCGCATCAGTTTCTGCTCTCGTACAGAAACACTCAGCCTTCTGACATCATTACCATACTGATGTAAACACAGGAGGTCTTAAGTTAACCTTTTGAATCACAGCCACTGAAAAAGGCAATTGCAGGTTAGCATCCTACATAGAAAAAGAGCCGCTGTGTTTACCGACTTTATGTAATCAGATATAACGCAGGGGCCCACGATGCCGTGACTAACGCTGTAACACGCTCCCACACAGCGCTCACTGTATATATAAGTGGAGGGTCAGGGGGTCACATCTTGAATGTGCCACTCCCAGCTGTGGAATCGTAAAGTTGGATCCCAACAAAATGTTTGCTTTTACTGGGTTTGACTTTGTAGAAGGAACCTGCTACAAACATCTAGCTAAAGGTAAGCAGCGGCGAGGTGCACTGGGTGGAACCGAAGATGATTTCACTGCCCCCTCCGAGCCCCCTCCGAGCTCCATCCCAGTGCCTGTCTTTCCCCCTCATTATCCAAGTATGATTACATAATCCACAATCTGGGATTGCATCACTGTTTGGAGTCCAGCACATATATTTTTCAGAGCAGAGAGCTTATCCTTGTACTTTGCTCATTTCCATGTCCCAGGCATGTCAGATAGCATCAGAGAGAGGCTGCTCTACGTGATGCTATCTCTGTATCTCATGTAAAATACACAAAACCAGTGAGGTAAAGTAGAAAAAAGATACAAACAGCCTCTTGTAATCACACTGACATGATGTTTTAAATGTGTCTGAGCAAGGCGGGGAATTAAAAGAAACAAACAAAAATACAAAAGCTCCAGAAAAGAATCAAATATAAAACACAAGCGTGATTCCTGATTTGTTCGTTTTCATCATGTTTATCTCCTGACATTACAGCGTTTTAATATTTACTTTGAAATGATGCAGAATATGTATAAAAATGAACTCCCCGCTAAGCGTGCCACAGCTAACATCTGTGACATTAAAGCTCAAACGAACAGCATGCACTCCTCGCATAAACATGAATTCACCCTCTACCACTCTGTGGTTGCTCGGTATTTAAAGGTGACATTAGGCCGCCGGTTGCACGCTGTGAAAATGCCACCGGGTCAGCAGAGAGCTCAGCCAGTGTAACGCTGCTATGACATCATACCTGGCCGGCGAAGAAGCCACACACGCCGATGATGCAGAGGATGTTGAAGACGGCTGAGCCCACGATGGTCCCGACGCCGACGTCGCCACGGGTGATAAAAACTCCTGCAGGGAGAGTGAGCCAACACGCGCGCACACACACACACACACACACACACACACACACACACACACACACACACACACACACACGATGAGGTCCACCGAGAGCAGAGCACACGTAGCATCTGCAGTGGTAACAAACAGATGTCACACAACTGTCAAAGTACTTGACTCAAACACACGTGCCAGCAGAGGGGTGCGTGTCCCAGCGCTGCACTTTATGTTAACGACAGAGAGAAAGCATCACTGTGGACCTGTTATACTTTCCCTTACTCTCTGACGGTGATACATTTCAAATTCTAATTCTTTTGAGCCAAAAGCCAAAGCTTCACAGTGCTACAAACACTCGGATTCATACGTTTTTCCTGCTCTATCTATTTGTATCTGTACAGAGAGGGGATGTCAGCCATTTAGAAGAAAGCAGGTTTAAAACAGAGGAGCTAAGGTTAACCTGAACACTGCACCAAGGCCCAATAACAGATAAATAAGGATTATTTCAAACTGTGAATCAAGCAAAGCTACTCTAGTAGAGTCTTAGAGTAAAACTATAAAGCTGGAAATGAGCTGAATATGTCACCTTGAACTTAAACAAAATAAAGCATGTTAAACACATTTGGCACATTTACATATTTATAACATATTTATAACTTATTGCAGCTAAATTTAACAGTACCCTTCACCCACCAGTAACACTGTATTTGCCATTAAGTGATTCTGAATATTTAAAGCCATGTTCACTGCATGTGTCTTGGGATAAAAGCATTCAAAGCCATGGCTGCTGCCTGCCTAAAGCAGCACTGCAGCTCCAGCTGTCAGAGTTAGAGCAGAGGATGTAGACTGATGGAGGGATGGGCGTAGAAATGTTGTACCTATGATGGATGTGAAGAGCTCCGGAGCCGAGCTGCCAGCGGCCATAAAGGTTGCACCTGCGACGTCCTCGCTGAGATTGAGACGCTGAGAAGGAACAGATCGGAAGATTAAGAAAATTTCAACAGGGAAAAAGGTGCAGTTTCAAAATCCAGACAAGACTGAAGGATTTTAGAAAAATTTTGGGAGAATAAATAAATGTAACTAATTTGGGCTAATGAGTAAATACACAGAGTCTGGTTGTTTATTTCTCAATCAAATACAGAAAAAAGGGTCTCTGCTACTGGCAAAAGAAAACATGTTTTTACAAAAAAGAGTCTAAAAAACAGAAAAATATTCCTGTTTGGCAAACATGACGATTCATATTCAAAGAGTGAGTCGGATATTCTGCTATTTTTATGCTGGCGAAGTACATTAAAGTCTTAAAACAGAGAAAGAAAACTCCTTATCAGGATAAAAACTAGCATAAACAACTTTCTTTCTTTCTTCTGCGAGGACAAAGACAGTATCAGTGCTGATGAGTTCCTTTTTCTGGGAGATGGGAAAAGCACTTAATAAAAATGAAATAGAGTTCAAATGTGTTTGTCAAAGCAAATACGCCAGCAATAAACATCCAGCTCTGAATATCTGTGGTTCATCTGAAACTGTAACTCTTTAAATTTCTTGACTCTTCAACATAAGTTCCCCAGCTGAGTGACTATATTTTGAAAATCTTGATTAATACCTCACATAACTTCTCCAGGGAGGGGACGAAGTAGTCATCGCAGACGACGGCCAGAGCGCAAAACATGTATATGGTCTGTGAAGAGACAGAAAGAGCCTTAAACATTACAGTGAAGGAGAAACACTGTGCTTTATGTGATTTGATCTATTTAAACTGGACAGCAACAAGAGATGTTGTTATTCTGCATCAAACAAATCCCAGAATGGTACAAGAAAGAATACCTTTCTGCTTAAATTTATATGTAAATTACCCTAAAAATAAGTCACAGATCTCGGCCCATGACAATTCAGTGGAGTCCATTAACAGATCGGACATTAAACATTCAGGAAACACATACAGCAGGCCCACACGCTTAACTTTTTAAAACAGGGAAGTTAGTTTTCTCTCCTGAAGCATGCTGGCATAAAAAAAAAATTCCAGGTCTGGAAGTTTGCAACCAAAACATGACCTCTGACCTTGTAAATGTAACCGAGCTGTTTGATGCTTAGTAAAGACGCTGGATTTGTGTTTCCTTGTAAGCTTTTACTGTGTAGCTGAGCAGACATTACATGCAAACAGCTTGACTCTGGGGGCAAAGACTGGGCCGTTAGACATTTTTCTTACTGCGTACATGCACTGTGCACTCTATGAACAGCTATGAGAAACCCCCATTATTCAACAATAGTAGTCAGCCAAAGCTAATATAGTTATTTATAGACATGCTTAAATTCAGCCTAATTCTAAAACCAAGAGGAAATCAGAAGTTATTTTTTTAATTGTTTTTTTAAAAAGATTTTTATGGTTATTCTGCTCTTTTCAACTATAATTTATTTGTCTCTCCTTTATGGTACCAGCAATATCTTAGTCACTGCAAAAGAGACTAAAGTGCAAACATATGGATTTAATCAGTGAGTAGTAATCTGCATAATATATAATCTATTTCTATAACATAGTAAATCTACAAAGGGAACTTAAGTATTATGCAGATGGACTGGATAGCCAACCAATCACAGCAGATGGCCCCGCCCCTCCCTGAGCCTTGTTCTGCTGGAGGTTTCTTCCTGTTAAAAGGGAGTTTTTCCTTCCCACTGTCGCCAAAGTGCTTGATCACAGGGGGTCATATGATTGTTGGGTTTTTCTCTGTATCTATTATTGTACGATCTACTGTACAATATAAAGACACTTGAGGCGACTGTTGTTGTGATTTGGCGCTGTATAAATAAAACTGAATTGAACTGAAAATAGAACTCAGCTTATAATGAATAATAGTTAATAAAAATAAATCAAACCTGTATCCACAATAAGTTTCAGATTATTGCAACAATAAAATACGAGTTCATCATCTGCAAATAGATTAAAAATTACCTTAAGAAGAGTCACCATAAGAAGAAATGTACATAATAGACCGAATACTGAATACTGCCAGCTTTACACATGAAAACATGTTTGAATAACACAGAAAAAATATTTGACAAAAAAAGCTGAAAAACGTTAAATTAAACCCTAAACATAAAAATTCCATTACAAACACACAGATCACATCATCTTAAAAAGAATAAACCCAAAACTCTGAACATGAATTCTTGTTGATCACGTGCAGCATACGTTACATCAGTGATCTGGATTAAAAGGCAGCCTGTGACACTGAAAACTGTCATATTAGATGTTACATCAACTTCTCTGGCATCACATAATAGATCCAACACAAAGAAATGGAGACGGGGTGGAGATCAAAGACAGGTGGCGATGATCAAAAGCACTAGTGATGACAGAGTGACTGCTAATGTGTGAACAAAGGAGAAACGCTCTCACACACTGCAATAACAAAACCTTTACAGTTAGACCGACGCGGGAGTGATCACGCTCTTCGTGCCCGGAGATCAGTCACATTTCACCGAGCAACCACAAACTCAACTTCCTGATTCTGACAGCAGGTGAGAGCGAGCACGTTATGTGTTTGAGTGCCAAAAGCAAAAGGTCAGAGGTCACATGTAATCCTGCTAACTGGGTTTAACACAGATTTAGAGCTGAGGTAGAGGGTGGGAGAAAGCGTCTTCAGCCACAGAGACGTATGCTGACTGCACACTTGTTTCTATGTGTGCACGTGTGAATTGAGTCGAGGAAGTCCTTCAGTCCGAGCTTGTGTTTGTGTTTTTTCGGAGAAGTGATGATCCCAGCGCTAACGAGCTGTGCGGGACTGGAGAGTGAGTCAGCAGCACAGCTGCTGGGAGAAAAGTTGGGAGCAAGATACTGCGATTAAAAAAACAAAAAAAAATTTAAACTGAAGCATGAACAAAGCATGCTTCCATTTTTAAAAACCACAAATACTCATGGTCAATTATAGCTTTCCCAGTTCAGCTTCACTTATGGCTGCATCACACGGAAATGTGAGGGAAAAGACAGCAGTGTTTAAATCTGCATCCCTCTGTGGTCAACCTGAGTCGCAGGATGGCCTGGAATAAAATTTAACTTCAGCATTTACAAGCACTGTGCAGAGAGTATCTGCACAGAGGAGCAGCTGCATGTTTTCCAAAATGTCACAATTTGAGCTTCATGCTCAATATTTCATATTTTTAAACAGGTAAATGGTTAATGAAGGAGATCGCAGGGCGTTTCACAAAGTCACAAGCACAGGAAAATCCGAGCTTTTAAAGTTTCTACTGAAGAAAATATCAAAGTGAATCACAGCCAACGACTAAGGCGAGTTTAAGGCCTTTGAGTTTGTTTGTCCAGCATCTATGATCACTCGTGACTTCAGGAGAGATCCATGTGTAGCTTGTAATTTCTGGGCTGAAAAACATATTTAATCTTTTTCGAAACTGTAACCACGTCTATTTTACACCCAGTCTAAGTGTAACAATCTAGAGACAAATCTTTTTCTCTATAACCTCTATAAACTGCGCCATTTTCATGCCCGTGATGTGGAGAAACAGAAACAAGCACTGGCATCTTGGATCTCTGATCATTCAATGGAGAAAGCTCAACAAATGCGTTTTGGGTAAACTTTGAAGAGTCTTATTCCCATGTGACCGGTGACTCCTCAGAACAAGTTAAAAGGTCTCCTTTTACCTAGAATTTGGCATCAGGCTCATCTTCTAGCTGTGATTCCTTTCATAAAAGTCATTTTCTAATATATTGATTTTAAGTTTCGAGTTGATCTGCTGCTTTTTTCAACAGAACGTAATGAATTCAAAGACTAATAATAATAAAGTCAAAGACTGAACCAAGAAAAAAAAAAAGCAAACAGCTTGGACTGAGTTTTGTGACCAAATGAGAGACGTGGATTTGTGGTTGTAAAACTGACTCACTTGGTTTAAGGCCAACATTAGAAGAGACTGCCCAGCTTTGGAGAGCTAAACTTTTGCCTCTAATTGTTTTTTGAAGGACTCGTTGTCAATGCCAAACAGGGCAAATGTGGACTTTTTGTCACGTGTCTTTACAAATACGTTGCAAACGGAAACAAGAGCATCTTTGTATACTCAGCTCACAGACTCTTCTAGATCCAAATAAACTTCTGGGTTTAAGTGCTCGACAGGTTCCTGTAGGATGTTGAGAGGATATCCAAGGCTTGGTGAAAGGCCAAGTTGAGATCAAGTCTGGAAAAACCTCGTAAACTCACCTTGAGTTAGGACTATTTACTATTCCCAGGCTCGGCAAAGTAATCCATCCGAAAACTTCCTGGAAACCCACTTTGTCCCACTTTGGGTAAGTCAAATGCATAAATTGCATGTCATACTTCAGACACACACAATCACAGTCTGAACATTTCTTATTTTGTTTTAAAGGCAGCCTGTTACAGCAGCGTTTTATTCTCAGCTGCAGGGCACGATTGTCCTCCCGCTGTACACAGAAAAAAGCACAATGACATCGGCTATGAAAGGACACTGAACATTATTTTAAAGGTTAAAAAAATAGATGGAGCTTATATTCACCTGCTATTTTGCACTGATTTCTAAACACCCAAGCATCCCAGTAAAGGTTCTGCAGCAGCTCAGAGGGTGGCTGCAAAGTGAGACACGGCAAACGCTTCATTGTTTAGTCCTGCGGAGATGCTGCAGGAGCTTCCATTATGATGAAACCCCTCAGAGACCATCAGCACAATGCAACATGGATCATCGCGTGCTCAAACATTCTGCATGCTTTGTCGCTCACGCCACAGCGATGAAAGAAAGGCCCCATCATAGTTTGGGCCTCGCATGGTGACCTCTGCTGGGTCCCACTGCAAAGGCTGTGTGTTTGTTGAATTGCCGGATGGGAAAAGACTCGGCTGGCACTGAGCTGCAGCTCAGTCTGGAATACTGTAATCCAAACACCAAAGATATTTCCAATTGCTTTGATTTATATTTGGTGGCATGGCTCTTTTCTGGGAGGAGAACCGGGGACAGAGATGGTTGCAAATCAGCTTGCAAAGGTGCATCTGCAACTGTGAGCAGGCTAAAGCAGCTTAAACTGTGGGCCTTATATGAGAGTTTGCAGTCAGATGTGTAGAAGCCATCAGCTGATATGAGATTGACTTTGAACTAACCCTGAGTTAGTTTATTAGCATGGCAAAGTTACACCAGTGGTTAGCACTTCTGCCTCAGTTTGAGGAGTTGGTGGAAATGTGGAAAAGGAGAGATGTTCTTTATATTTTCAATCAAATTTAGATGTAAATGGGTGTTTTTCTTCTTTTTAGCTTGAATTTTTTTAAACCTCAGCATTTTCAGGCAGTATCGGTTAGACAAAGACTTTAACTGAACAAACACACACATCCACACATGTGCAATAACACTAAGTGCAATAATCCTTTCTGGCATCGTTGTATTTTTACTCAGTTGTATATAGCATTCGTATTCTATTTTTATCTTATTGTATATTTTTATTCTATTTTATTCTACTGTATATAGTATATTATTTTATTCTATTCTGTACAGCTGTGTACTGTATTTATTCTTATTGTATTCTAATTTTTGCCTCATAACTTTTGCACTGTCCACTTCCTGCTGTGACAAAACAAATTTCCCACGTGTGGGACTAATAAAGGTTATCTTATCTTATCTTATCTTATCTTACAAATGGTAGAGCCGTCCTTTCAGTGGGTTTTCAGCATCGCCATTATTTAACCCACTGGGCTGTGATGGGCGGCAGGTCTTCTAAAACAATGTGCATTTTGTTTCCATGTGTTCATGAAAATGAAGGCTTTGGATGCACAAACCATCTGGGAATTTTTGGATGAGTAAGTAAAATCTCAAACGTGGATACAGGGGAACGGATGCAGAGCTGTGCTGGTGAAGGCAAACTTACACACAGGACATGCAAGGCCACGGCTCCTTCTGTCCTCTCTTTGTTCGTGAACAGGTCCGTAGGGAACTCGTGCAGAGCTGCAAGAGACAGAAAGCCAGGATCAGGACACTTCATACAGTAACGCTCAGTGGGTTTTATCAGAGGATGCTGCACAGAACACGTTTCCAATGCTCTGCAGAAGCTTAAACTCGGTCCCTTCCAGAGAGTTACTTAAACTTAAACCAAGCATGCGACGACCGTCAAACGGTGTCCTCCCAGGCACTGCGTACGAGTACCCTTCCTCAGAGAGAAGAGTGAAATGGAAAACAGTAGGAGGACGAAGAGAGGGCAAAGAGGAGAGAGCATCGTAAAAATAGAGCACGGGATATTTAAGGTACAGCAAGTGGGATGGAGAGCAAAGAAGAGAGAAAGGGTGATGGGAGTTTAACCACAATGTTTCAGCTTGAGAATGTGAGTACAACGGAGGATCAGCTGTGTGTGAGCACAAGGAAAAGACAGAGAGAACATAAAGGAGGGGGTTTGGCCTTAAAAGGTGGCAGGGGTTATTCCACTGCCTCTCTGTGGCTTCCTCACTGACTCTCTGAGTGACAGGCACTCGGGTGCCGGCGAGAGTCGAGGAAGCTCTCCTTCTCGCCCCTTAAGCTAACATGTGTTACATATTTCGGAGATAACAGGGGAAGGTTGGACAGCTATCAGGCACAGATTTGGGCTATCAAATGCTAAGCCACGAGAAATCACAAAACATCAGAAATATTTTACTGATTAGCTTCAAAGAGTCAAGTAAAAAAGCACAGTCCTGTATTTTCATGAGATTTTATTCATGTTTGGTTTTGAATCCCAGAGACCGCATTACATTCCAGCATATGATGATAATATAATAATGGAGAAAATGTACAAATTAGTGCATAAAAAAATCACGAGAATGTTTCAACTACTTGTGATTGGCTGGTTTGCAACAGCTTTGGAATAATAACAGCCAATGTATATTTTATTTATATTGTCTCTGTATTTATATATATGTGTGTGTGTGTGTGTGTGTGTGTGTGTGTGTGTGTGTGTGTGTGTGTGTGTGTGTATATATATATAATATTCTGTAACTCTGTAACTTCTGTCGGTGCTGTGCTTTTTTGGAAATCGAATTTCCCAGAGGAACCCACCCGAGGGATTAATAAAGTTCTGTCTTATCTTATCTTATCTTATCTTATCTTATCTTAACAGGCTGTTTTGGATTGATGTGTGGGTAACTGTAACAGAGGTCAGAAATCCTGACAGTATGATTTCAGGCAGTGTTTAAATAAATCCAACAGGACATCAGATGCTTGTGTTAAAACTGGAAAATGCAAAAGTATCCCACAGCAAGCCTGTATATGGAAGAGGATTAGGGCCACTGGGAAAAAAGAATTCTGACTTTAATCTCATAATTCTGACTTTTTTCAGAATTATGAGAATTATGAGATTAAAGTCAGAATTCTGGCTTTTTTCTCAGAATTCTGACTTTTTTCTCAGAATTCTGACTTTTTTCTCAAAATTATGAGATTAAAGTCAGAATTCTGACTTTTTCCCAGTGGCCCTAATCCTCTTCCGTATGTATATGATCATCTCTGTTATGTGAAATACCTTACAGGGAGTGATCAGCTCAAAGTGTTACCATACAGGGAAACCCTCCTCCAACCTGGGATTTCCACCCCTCGCCAAACCTGCAGCCCCCTCCACACACACACACACACACGCACACACACATAAACATACACACACACACACAAACACACACACACACACACACACGCCTCTTTTCTCTGGCTGAGGCTCCGTACACATCCTGGATCCTGATCCGCTCACTCACTCCCTGCTCCCGTTGGCCCACTTCATTCCTGCGTTATTCAGTAAACCTTTGAAACCAGTCAACGGCTGTGTGAGTCTGCTCACTGATCCCAGTAATCCCAGTAAGACAACACTAGAAGGTAGCCGCGATGGTGGGCACATATAACTTTCAGTGATAAATGTCTCAAAGGCTTAAAGCTGACATACACCATCAAAGTGCTGCAGAACAGCGCTGGTTAGCAGGGCTGTCATCTGTTTACTTTGCCATCTGCTATCTTAGTGGCCGGCGCTACTGTAAGTACCAGCTCTGAGCACATTAATAACATAATAATACTACATTTAACCAGGCAGTACTTCTGGCACAGACTAGCAAGAGGAGTAATATTTAAATGTCTAGTCGACTACTCGCGTATAGACTTCTGCCTCCTTAAAATTAAATGCATTAAGGGGTCCAGCTCTACCAGACCAATATGGCGACTGTCATGAGGCGTTGTTAAAACGAACAGCAGTAACAGGTGTAGCATCTAAGTCTAACTGTCCATGTTTACAGAGTAAGCAGCTCGAACAGAGTGGGATGCCCTCTGCATCACTGACAGGCTAAAGGTGAAAGAATGAACAAACATGAGAGTCCAGCGTGGTGAGTAGTTTTCTCTTCCTCTTATATGACGCGTTATTTCAGTGCAAAATCGTTCATGTTCATGTTGTAGAGAAGAAATAAGAGCAGGTAGAATAATAAGCGCTTGTTCCCCTGTTTGTTGACCTGATTGTATCCACAGTATATCTGTGGCCACCAGTCCTCGCCTGCACTATGTTCCACTGCCACGACTTCTAAAGTCGAACACAATGCAGAGCTGCCTGTAAAAAGCTACAGAGGCTGCAGAGCAGCAGAGCAGACAGCCATCTCACAGCGACAGCTGGATGTGTTTAATATTTACTATTACAAGCCGGTGTCGGCGAGCTCCAACTCAATCCAGCCGAAAATGCCAGGCGAGTATGTGAGGGGAAACAACAAGCAGCTCTTATGACAGGAATCAGGCTGGAAACGCAGAAGAACAAGAAGTCAACACTTCTGCCTGAATTCAAACTTTCTCAAATGAAAAACAGAAATAGTTTATTATGAAACAATTGAAGACAAAATGCTGAAATAATCTATCAAAACGATTTCTCCTGAAGCATCGGGGGATAAAAGCCAAACAGCTAATTGTTTTTCCGAGAAGCACGAAGCTCAGTTTCCCACGAGAGGTAATAAGTACACGTGCGGATGTGATGCAGAACCACACACTCCCACAAGGAACCCGCTGAACCTCCATGTAAACAAGGTGTTTTATAAAACATCAGCACTGAAAGGTTCCACTTCACAGCACCCGGCTCTCTCCAAACCTCAAACACATGCTCGCCACGATACGCCGCTATATGAACGTGCTGCTCGCCAAACCCACCTCCACCCTCGAAAAACTGCGGCTGTCACTGTGATGATCCTGATTTCCTCACTGCATTGTGAGACTTGGATAAGTGGAAGGGTGCTGCATCTTTTTTTCTAGATTTTCAGAAAGAAAACAAAAAAGTGAAGAATAAGGAATGAAAAACAGATCAGGATTTCACACAAGTATGGTGATCTACAGCCGCAACCCAGGTGCAAGAGCTTTTCATTAGTTCTCATCATTTAATAGGAAAGCAGTTTTATTTAAGATCCTGTATAATAATGTGAAGTTTTTCTTTTACAGGTCACCACAAACTCAAACGTTTACATTTTTTCCTCTTGCCTGTTGTCATGTTTATCCTGTCGTGCTTTTCAGGCAATTTCAAAGTAATATACAATTCCTTTTAGAGCTGGGAGCTTGCACTCCCCCAAATCTCTGCCACGAATATGAAAAGTTTGAGGTTGAAATGACCCACTGTTACGTCCCCACATAAAAGCTAGGCGATGAGGGTGGGGGACAGTAACAGTTGGATCCGGGTGAAATGAAAAGAACGCCAGGCAGAGGTATTTAACACACCAGCCACAAAGCAAGGAAATAAACCTTGAGTATCTTTTAAAAAGCAAAGCAACAGTAAGTAAAGGGCAGCATGACTTTGTGGACTGAAATGATCAGAAAGTGGTTCAAATCAAACGTCAAAGTTGGAAACTTCTAAGGTGAACGGTGCTCTACACGAGCAGTTGGGACAATGGTCACGCCAGCGGCGGCGGCGAGAGTCGTGGCTGCAGAGGTACCTGCAGCACGTGCACTCACTCTCATCTGTCGGGGCCCTCGTTCTCGGACCTCGGCTTTTGAGTTTTTGGATTTCAAATTGTGTTTATCATTAAATATTTTTGTCTTTGTGTATTCCTCTGTAGTTTTAGTCTTTAGTTCTAGTTCCAGGTACTATTTCCATTAGAGTTCATTACATCCCTCACGTTTTTCCTTCAGTCTTTCCCCATGTTAAAGTTATTTCCGTGTCAGTTTTCCTTTTTAGTTATCGTTACTTACTTCCTGTTTTACTTTGTCAGTTGTTTGTCTTCTGTGTCCTGTTAAAAGGGAGTTTTTCCTTCCCACTGTCGCCAAAGTGCTTGCTGATAGGGGGTCATATGATTGTTGGGGTTTATTTGTATATATTATTGTAGGGTCTTTACCTTATAATATAAAGCGTCTTGAGGCAACTGTTGTGATTTGGCGCTGTATAAATAAAATTGAATTGAACTGAACTGCCTCCCCTGTGATTGTATTGATTGTGTGCACCTGTGTCTCATTCCTCCCAGCTGTATCCAGTCCCCATTAGCCCTCAGTGTGCATGTAAATGCAATCCTGGCGTTCCTTTGCAGTGTCTGTATCTGTTATCATCCATTTGTACTCTTTGTTACTTGGACTTTTTATCAGCTGAAATAAAGGCTTGCCTTTTGTTTTGTTCATTCACTTTTTCATATGTTGTTTTTTTCGTCTTTGGGTCCTCAATCCTGTATGAGCAATGTTCTCTCGTTTGGTGTTTTGATGATGGTTGTGGGGAGAAAAGTATGGGGCCAAAAATCTCCCACAGCTGTTTAATTTGGTTGAGATTTGATGACTAAGAAGGTAATGATGTATGCAGTCACATGCTCATCACTCGTGACCACAGATGGGGCAGCTATCATCTTGGAAGAGTCCAATTAGGGCAGAAATTACTCAAGACAGCTTCCCATTGGAGCAGCTTCGCATTTACTTGCAGTGACCATTCCCTCTAAAGCAGGGGTGGGGAACTCCAGACCTCAAGGGCTGGTGTCCTGCAGGTTTTAGATATCACC